CACCGTGTCTCAGGGGTTGTGTGGCAAAGGTCTCTAAACACCAGTAATGTAAACCTCAGCATCTGCTGCGGCGTGCTGTTGTTGTTAATTGAATTTATATATTGCCCTTCATCCAAAGATCACAGGGCAATTTACAACATAAAAACACAAAATGCATAAGAATAATAAAAAACAGTAACGCCCCCAATAAAAGGCCTTAGATTGCTTAACAGCCCAAAGGTATGTTTGAAGAGGGATGTTTTCATCTGGAAACTCAAGATCTGTAATGAAGGCGGCAGGCGAATCTCTCTAGGAAGAGCAATTCCTCAAACGGAGTCATTGCAGAAGAGGCCTGTTTTTTCCTGTTCTCACTCTGTGGCATCCTCTCCTTGCTTTCCAGATGAATCCATCGCCGAGAAGCGGGAGGAAGAGGACCTGAAGTCAATGAGGACATCATCTGCCCCCATGGTGAGGGCTGGGGCTGCTTTTGAAATGTCTGTTTGAATGATTGATTCTGTTTCTGTACTGCCCTTACTCTGATGGGAGTGCAGAGCAGTGGACAGCATGAAAATGCACTTTAAAAAACCCCACTTCTAAAATAAAAAATACACAGCAAGTGCCAGCTGCTGAAATTTCAGCAAACTCATCTTAACACATATGCCCCACTATGTACTGTATTTATTTCCTACCTTTCTTCAGATAAGCTTTGGGTGGCATGTGTAGTTCTCCACCCACCTCTTTGCAATGTTCTCATCACTACAGGCCTGCAAGGCAGGGCTGGCTGAAAGAAAGAGGCTGCCCCAAGGAAACACAATGAGCTTTCCTGCGGTTAAGTGCAAATTTGAACCTAGGCTCTTCCCACTGCTTGAACTGCTACACCCTACTTAGTCCTATACAACAACAGTTTCCAGTGGGGTAGGAAATCTCCAGTGCTTTGCTATCAGGGTAAAACCGACCTCCCTAAAATACCCATGTGTTTCAGCAGGGTGGGGAGTGAGCCGATTCTTAGTGTCCAGAAAGGAGTGAGAGGACTTCCAGTTCGCATCCTGGGCTGCCCTGACACCAGGAATGCAGAGTCCTGGGTTTTACTGATAACACCCAGATCAGATTAGGCAGATTCAAGGCCACAATGGCTCGTCTCTGCTACCTCGGTTGGCGGCAGCAATGCTGCTCTATCCCAGGAGAGTGCTATTGTGCTTCAGTATTGTGTGCTAGTTTTTCCACAGGTTGGCCACTGCGGGAACAGGATGCTAGACTAGATGGGCCACTGGCCGGATCCAGAAGGCTCATGTTCTTTTGAGAGAAGGTGCTCCCCCAAGGATGCTAGCACCCAGGGAGGTTCATGTAGGCCCAGGCCATTTTCTGTGGCTGTAAAATGAGAGAATCTCACATACAAATGCCTCCTACTCCCTTACCGTTTTTATAGCTGGGTTGCGTTGAACAAGACATAATCTCAGTGCGAGTGTTTGTTTTTGGAGGATGCCTTCAGAAAGGTAATTTGCTTAAGAAGTCAAGGCGCATGTGCCCGCCTCCGCATATGCCAATGCTTCTGGCAATTAGCGAAGCCTAAGGAAGCCCTTAGTGTGCTCCTCTCCCAGATCTCAAGCAATTGCAGGCTCAGCGACTGCGTTGGCCCCTGCGTTTGGCGCACACCCATTTCCTGATGCTTGGGTCGCCCCTGGAGCAGGAGGTAAAACAAAGCGTATTCTCCTCCTCCGCCTTAATTGCCAGCTTCATCTCCCTAATTGCCCTGTAACCTTAGAACGCACAGAAGGAGCTGTGCTGGAAAGTGGAAGGCCTTCTTTGAGATGATGCGGCTCCTTACCAAGCACATAGCAAATTATTAATGTGCGATGGGCCTTTTTTTTTGCAGGCTCTCTGCTCTGCAATGGAGGCAGGAATAGGTGTGCTCTGCAAGGAGTCCTGGGGGGCAGGAAGAGGGGGAGGCTGGTCCTGGCTTGCATCCAGCGGCTTCATGTGGTGGTTCCTTCTCTGTGAGCCTCGGATGCTGATGTGTTTTCTGGTTAGAATAAGAGCAGGGTGGGAAGGGATACCTAGGAATATGCTGGATCAGGCCAAAGGGGGCCCATCTAGTCCAGCATCCTGTTCTCACACAGTGGCCAACCAAATGCCCATTCTGGGAAGATCACAAGCAGGACCCCTGAGCCACTAGAGCAACTCTCTTGTGTGGTTTCCAGGAGCTGGCATTCAGAAGCATTGATGCCTCTGGCTGTGGAGGGCAGAGCATAGCCATTGTGGCTGGCAGCCATTGATAGCCCTATCCTCCACAAATTCACCTGATCCTCTGATTTATAAGCCATCCAAATTGGTGGCCATCATGGCATCTTGCGGCGGTGAGTTCCGTAGTGAACTTACTTGGTATGTGAGAAGGCCTTTCATCTGTCTTGAATTTCCTAAATACCAACTTTGTTAGATGGCCCCAGCTTTCTGCTTTGGCGCTACTTTCCCTTAAAAACCACAAGGAGCAGCCTTGTACTGAATCAGACCATTGGCCCATCTTTGCCGAGTGTTGTCTACACAGACCGGCAGCAGCTTCTCATGGGTTTCAGGCAGGAAAGCTTTCCAAAGGAAGATTACAGTCCCTCGTGGTACTGAGAAAGGACTGGTTTTTAAAGGAGCAAATCAAGCTGTCTGTTTTTGTCTACGCCAGTGTTCCCCAAACCTGGGTCTCCAGCTGTTTTTGGACTGCAGCTCCTCTCACCCCCAGTTATCAGGGATGATGGGAATTGTAGTCCGGAAACGGCTGGAGACACAAGTTGGGAAACACTGGTCTGCACTGACTGACAGCAGCTTCTCCGGGTTTTCAGACAGAATCTTTCTCAGCCCACCTGGAGTTGCTGCCATTGGGGATTGAACTTGGGGCCTTCTGCTCTCCTACTTGAACCCATGGTCCTTCTCCACAGAATGTTCCTCTCCTGCCCCACTGCTTCCAGCAACTGTTCCTCCTCCTGGGGGGCTTGTCAGAAAGCGTGTGCAGGGAAGGGTTAATGCTTTGAAAACTGGTCTCCGGGGTGCTTGGTCTTTTAATGGAGCAATTTGGACCTGAAGTGTTCTCACCTACCCGCCCCAAGATTCCTGCTAGCTCCGTGAGCTAGGAAGCATGCAGCCGAAAGCTGCTCAAAAGGGAACCTCACAATTGTTCCATATTAAAAAGCAACGTCCATTGGGGACCGTTTGGCTCCTTCGGACTCCCATTTGGCAGCTAACCCAGGGGAGTTTTAAAGGGGGGGGGCTCAAATTGAGATGCGCCTCTTTTTGCTCGAGTCAACTGCATTTCTCTGGCGGTTTTCTCCCCTCCCGCAGGCAACCTGTGCATATCAGAGAACGAGAGGAGGGTGGTCTCCGGAGAAGCCTGGGAGAAGCTGCAGCGCTACTTCCGGAATGCCCCTGAGTTCCCAAACAGCAAAGACTCCTGTTCTCAGTGCAAGGTGGCGGACTCCTCTTCATTGGAGGTTTTTAAGGAGAGGCTGGACGGCCACCTGCCATGGATGCTTTAGTTGAGATTCCTGCATTGCAGGGGGTTGGACTAGCTGACCCCAGGGGTCCCTGCCAACAATTCTGGGATTCTATAAGGTGTCTGGGTTGCATTTTCCCTGCCTCAGGCGGGGTGTGATCTGTGTCCGAGAATGCCCCAGAAACCCGAACACTAGGAAATTTTGCAGGCAAATGAGCCCTAGGGGGGGCAGGGGAGGTTTGACCCAATGCCTGCAGGACAGTTCTGGGTCTGTTTGTGCTATGTAGGAAGCAACCCTAAGCAGCCTCATTGGTTCATCTACCTCAGTATTGTCAACACTGACTGGCAGTATCCAGGGCTCTCGTCCCTGGAGATGCCAGGGACTGAACCTCAGGCCTTCTGCAGGTCCTTTGCCACTCAACTATGGTGCTTAGAAATAAAAGCAAAGGGCTGATTTAGATGTGAGCATAAGAAACTACGGAGTTGGCTCAACCTAGCTCAGTATTTCCTAAGACTGCTCCCCACCACACAGTCCCTGCAGCCAAAGAATCGCAGGCACTGTTGCCACAACCCTTGACTTCAAACCGCGCTTCCCAAAATGGGTGGTAGCACCTCTTTGGGGGTGCTGGGATTTTCTAGGGGGTCGGCGAGAGGCAAGGGCGCAGCAGGGATATGTTGGCTATGGATATGACTATCGGACTGGTGTATCTGGAGCAAGTCCATCAGTTTTGTTGATTTCCTTAAACGAAATAGTTTTAGCTGGATTTTGAATGAATGTGCAATTAATTGTTCCTTAGCGGGTCGTGCCAACCGCTCTTCTGAGTAATGATTTTTTATAGGGTAGGCAGCACTGGGGATGAGTTTATGGAACCAGGGACCCCCCCCCCCATAAAAACTTTGTGAATCAATGCTGTAAAACAAAAACATAGCTCCCTCACCCCCAGTTTCTTTCAATCAGGATGGGGAGTGACTCCCATGTGTGTTTTTCTGCAGATTCTGGAACGGGAAGGGGAAGAGAATGAGGCCCTCCACAAAATGATGGCTGGTGAGCAGAAGGCATCTCTCCCAAACCTCTTCCAGGACAAAAACCGGCCTTGCCTCAGCAGCTGGCCAGAGGTAGGGAGTCCAGGAGTTCATGGTAGCAGGGTGGGGTGCTTGTGTGTGTCTCAGAATGAGTGCATATAGTTGCAGCGGCAGAGGTTGCTTATGGTCACCTTCTTGTCAATATATGCATGTACACACATATATATGTTGTATGTAGACTGCTTAATCATCAAAAGCCTCTTAAGTGCTTTCACAATGGCGACTGGTAGATGATGGATTGTTTCCGTTGCTACTCAGAGCAGACACACCAGCCCAGTCCTGTGGAACTCTCTGCCTCTAGAGATCCAGAGGATGCCTTCTGCCTTCTGTGTCCACTTTTAAATGCCTGCTGAAACCACTTCTATCCTGCCAGGCCAATGCAGGCAATTAAGAAGTCATCCACAATGGTTAACTGAGTTCTGTTTCTTAACGTGGCTTTTTATTGTATGGCTTTATGCTTTTTGGTGCTGTAAACCACCACCCCCACAAAGTTAGACGCAGTGGTTTGCAAATATTTTTACAAATATATCTGGTTTAATGGACATGGCTCATGTTCATTAACTTCAGGGGGTCTACTGTGAGTAGGACTTAGTTGAATACAACCCATAACAATGCGACATTATTTAGGTTTATAATTTGCCGTTCACTCAAAAGTTCCTAGGGTGGCTTGCAGATGACGTGAAACAATGCAGTTTGGAACCAAATAAAAACCACCTAAATCAACTTAAAAACTACATATAATATACAGGCATGCCCCAGTTATGTGCATCCACTTGTGCGCAACTGCATTTGCATGCGCCACCATGAAATAAATTCTGTGTGCAGAGTCCAGGAACATACCCCCGCTTAAGTGGGGGGATGCGTGTATATCAGGGGTGCCATCTCTGTCTCTGGCGCTGAAGGGTTTTTCCCTGGGAGCTGCTTCTCGGCTGCATTGTAGAGATCCAGTCAGCAGCCTCCAAACCAGTTCTCCACTTCTGCGTCTGGGCAGTAGTGCCTGTGGTGAAGATCATTAATCGACAGTTTGTGACTGTCCTTGAACACGCTGTCCTCTGGGCAAAGGAAGGCCCGAGGTTAAGTAGCTTGTCCCTAATATATTTTGGGCTGCAACTGCCATCAGCCCTGGCTGGGTTGATGGAAGTTGTAGTTGAGAACTCTTGGAGGGCTCCAGGGCAGGTAAGACTAGTCTAATTGAATGCCCAGGGGCGGCATCACTGCCTGCATGAATTCAGCCTCCCCTAAGTAGAACCACAAACCCAAACTACAGGCCGTGGTTACAAGTGATTGTTTACAGCCTTCTCAGGAAGCCTGATGAATGCTGCTTGGCTTTTTTTTGAAAACTTTAATCTGGACAGCAGCTTTTAACCAATGTTTTCGGGGGCAGAACTTTAAATCGGCAGGGGAAAGGCTGCTATTGGAAGCAGCCCTTGAAGTCTTCCTCTTTTCATGCCCTCCACATAACGTTCTGCGGGGGAACAAGGAACTCCCTGAAAGTCTGAATTTCACAAACGTTGGCAAACTGTCTTTCAGGAGGTGGACGAGCTGTACGTCGTCTCAAAGTTCTTCGTGGAAGAATGGAGGAAATTCGTGAGGTGAGAAGGCAAAGGGAGAGTGAGTCTGGCTGCTGGGCTGGACCAAAGGCCCACATGCCCAGCCAGCTGCCATTATGACTAGTGGGTGAAACAGCTTCTGTTTCATAGCCCCAGATCTCCCTTGCTAGTCCTTGAAAACAGGGGCCTTCTGCATGCAATCAGGAGCTTAGAGACCCTTCCCCCTTTTATTAAAGCTGGAAGGCTCCTCTGCTTCCACCTGACACGTTCTCCCTCTTTCTAGTCTGGTTAAAATAAATTGAAAGTAGCAACCCTACTTTCTTGCTTGTCAGAATGGCTTTTGCTATGCAATGCCTGCCATCTCTGCCTCTTCTTCTGACCTTCAACCAGGCGGCCTACACGTTGCAGCCCTGTCTCCTCGGTCGGGAACCGGGATCTTCTCTGTCCACATGGCGGCCTGATGTTCACGTTTGCCTCCATGACCAAAGACGATTCTAAACTGTGAGTTGCTTCCGTTCAGTAGTTGCATCTTTTTCAGGTATTGGGGGGGGGGCAGTAAAGGGTGCAGGCAGTGAGGTGGATTTGCATGGGTTGCAGTTTAGTGCGCAGCTGCCCAGCATAGGAACTTAAGGAGCTGCCATCTCTACTGAGTCAGATCCCTTGGACTGTCTAGCTCACTATTGTCTGCACTGGCAGGCAGGGTTATCCAGGGTCTGAGGCAGGGACTTTCCTCCCCCAGCCCCTACATGCAGATGCTGCATGGAATAGAACCTGGGACCTGTGAGGCAGGTGCTCTGCTGCTGATCTTAAAAACAAAGCAAGTTTCTAGTCCTCAAGATTCTGAATAAATAGCAAGCAGCCACCTCTGGAATGAAGGCTCACGTGGGCAAGCAGCCTGCATTCATTCATTCAACCAACCAACCAACCAACCAACCAGGGTGGTGTTTGCTGAGGCTTTTCGAAAGCACTTCTTTAACTGGGATCCCCTTCCCTGCTGCTTTTGATGCACGTGGTCTGGAGTGTTGCGGGAAGAGGGAGGCCACCCCCCCCTTTCCAAGTAAGGCAGCATGTTCTGCTTCTTTGCACAGTATAGCTCTGATATGGCCCAGCGAGTGGGAGAAGATCCAAAAGCTGTTCGTGGTGGACTACGCCATTCGAGTTGTCCGGAGGCAGCCCGCGGATGCCAGCCCCGAAGCCCCGCTCTTCATCACCGAACCTGGTGAGTAAGCAAGCAAGTTTCCTCCATCTCCCCACCTCAATTTTTTTTTAAAAAAAAACGCTGGCTTGTGCAAACTCCACACTACGTTCCGCTCTTCCCACTTGGTTCTGGCATTCGCTTTTTCTGCAGGTGGCTGCAAGCTCAGGTATTCCACTTTTATTTTTAGATGACCTGCAGACATGCCCGACTGCCTGGGCTGTGTTCCATGCTGAGGTTGTGCACAAGACCATTAACTTGCATTATGTGAGCATTGGGCCAAAAATTATTTCAGGCAGCTGCTGTGCTTCAGAGATGACAGCTTCTCCCGCCCAACCCCTGTGCTTTGGAAATGGAACAAAGACCTTTTCGTACAGCCAGAGTATATATATTTTTGCGGCTGGTTCCTTTTTCACATATAAGCTGCAAGCCGGTTTTTTTTGTAAAATTCCTAGCGGCTTTAGAATTTCATTTTTTATAGTGATTTTTCATTGAGCTTTTGGTGCGACTAATGATACAAAAGACACCTTAAAATGCAAAAGAGTATAACTAGAAGCAAATTCAGAATCGATAAAATATGGGATGACAAGACGTCATAAAGGGATTTCTGCATGTACCCAAAACCCACTTCGGATTTGAACCAGGTATATTATAATATGCTGGTTTCCTGTTATTGCAGCTATTTCATTATTAGTTGTTTTTCTACTTCCTTTATTACAGGAATCAAATGGTAATCGATAATAATAACATGAATTTGAATTTATACAATACAGAATATACTGTATGCTGTAGGATTTTGGTATTGGTCTGTGTTGTAAGCCATATTGAGGTAGCATTATTATCACTTCACAATGGAGTGGAAGGTTTGCAGGCTGTGAAGGACTTGCTCACAAATTTATTGACAGCTACACAAATTATGATAACTAGGAAGTGGAAGGAGGCAAGTAGAATATAAAATGGAAGAATGGTATAAAGAGGTGTGGGAAGTTGCTCTTAATGATAAATTAGCATGTGCCATTAAGGTAAGACGGGGAATACGCTGGAGAAATTATGGAAGGTGTTTGTAGAATTGGTACTGTTAAAACGGGAAGGGGTCAAACCATCACAAGAGGTGTTGAAATTTTGGGAGGTTGGCTAGTTACAATGGAATGGATTGGGGGTGGGGTGCACATTTTTATTCTTATTTATTTATGATAATTACTTTTATCAAAAGAAAAAAGAAATAAATACAGTCATACCTCGGGATGAATACGCTTCAGGAAAAGCATTTTGGGGTTGCGCTCCGCGGCAACCTGGAAGTAATGGAGCGTGTTACTTCCGGGTTTCACCGCTCGTGTATGCGCAGGCACTCAAAATGACGTCATGTGCCTGTTATGTTCGCTTCAGGATGCGAACGGGGCTCCGGAACGGATCCTGTTCGCATCTAGAGGTACCACTGTAAAAAGAATTACAGTGGTACCTCGGGTTAAGTACTTAATTTGTTCCGGAGGTCCGTTCTTAACCTGAAACTGTTCTTAACCTAATGGGGCCTCCTGCTGCCGCCGTGGTGCCAGAGCACGATTTCTGTTCTCATCCTGAAGCAAAGTTCTTAACCCGAGGCACTATTTCTGGGTTAGCGGAGTCTGTAACCTGAAGCGTACGTAACCTGAAGCGTATGTAACCCGAAGTACCACTGTACGTGAAGAAGAAGAAATGAAGATAACCTCTGAAAGATCTGTACTTTTTGTGTGTGTGTAAGTAAATAAAGGCTTATGGTTGTTCTTGGTTTAGTGACATTGCCCAAAGTGCTTGGTCTTTGTAGAAACAGACCCCGCTGGTCGTTCATCAGCCTTTCTCCTTTCTTTGCTCCCCGACCTTCCAGAGCTGTGCTCAGAATGCAGAGAAGGGCTCTTGTGCCAGCAGGAGCGGGACCTGAGGGAGTACGCCCAGGCCACCATCTACGTGCGGAAAGTGGTGGACAACAAAAAGGTAGAGAGGCTCTGTCCACCCCACCCCGGCGTATTCTCCTGCCTGCTCTCTTTCTCCGCTTCATAGTTCTGGCCTAATCCCTCCTTCCTTCTCTGGCCTTTATAGAATCATAATTGGAAGGGACCATGATAATCCTCCAGTCCAACCCCCGGCAAGGCAGGAATCTTTTGCCCAATGTGGGGCTTGAACCACTGAACCTGAGATTAAGAGTCTCATGCTCTTCCAGCTGGGATATCCCAGCCTTCATTGAGTTCTCTGTTACAGCACAATCCTGTCGGGGCCACTGGCATAAGGACTTCAGGAACTTCTTAGGTGAAACGTTGGGGAGGGACTGTTGAGCTGCAATGGAACCTCCATGGCCAATGGCAATATATCTCTGAACAGCTGAGCAGGGGGAAGCAAGTGAAAGGTGTTTGTCAAGCTTGTGTGCTTCCTTGGTTGGAGATGGAGTCTCAAGCTATAGGAACCTGGGGAGAGTTTTCTCTGGGGCCGAACCTGGGGCCTTCTGCATGCAAAAATAGGAAATTTCCTTATACCTTACGCTCAGCCAGATCGTTGGGGTCATCTAGGTCAGCATTGTCTACACTGACTGGCAGCAATGACTCTCCAGGGTCTTTCCCAGCCGCAATGGGAGATGCTGTCAGGGTTTGAACCCGGGACGCTTAGCCTCAGCCCTTCCCCAGCTTTATATGGTCCTGGGGGAACTTCGGGGAGCTGCTGAAAGATGTCCACCCACCTCAGGAATTCATGATGACTCTCCCCTCTGCTGACATATGTCCTGGTGTTTCCGCCAAGGTGCTGGGAACCAGCTGATCACAGCAGAATATTAAGTCCTAGTGTGGGAAGGTCACAAGATCCTGTTGAGCAGGTGTCTGGAGAGGCTGCATGCAGGATCCTCTTCCTCTGCAGCTGCTGCTGTTGCAAAAGGGCAGAGGGCTTTGTTTGTGGGAACAGAGCATGTTGAAGGGCAAACGGCCAGCATAACAGAACGGCTGCAATCGGGCTGGTTCTTGCCAAGGGTCTCTCTTGGCAGGGAAGATCCGATCTAGGCTTCCGTGCCGTTTGTGTCCTGTATTTTTGACACCTAGGGAGCGGGGAGAGAATTGAAAGACAGCATCAGTGGAAGCAATGGAGAGGAATAGCAAAGCAGTCAGTTTGGGTAAACAGGCCATTGCTAGAAGATCAGGTGCTCTTGTGGGCCTTTGGTGTTGCTAGATCTTATCTCAAAGCAAGTCTCCAAAGCTGATTAGGCTTCACATTTTGTAGTCAAATACATAAAAGGTAAAGGTACCCCTGACCATTAGATCCAGTCGTGACCGACTCTGGGGTTGCGGTGCTCATCTTGCTTTACTGGCCAAGGGAGCCGGCGTACAGCTTCTGGGTCAAGTGGCCAGCATGACTAAGCCGCTTCTGGTGAACCAGAGCAGTGCACAGAAATGCCATTTACCTTCCTGCCAGAGCGGTACCTGTTTATCTACTTGCACTTTGACGTGGTTTCGACCTGCTAGGCTGGCAGGAGCAGGGACCGAGCAACGGGAGCTCACCCCGTCATGGGGATTTGAACCGCCCACCTTCTGATCGGCAAGCCCCAGGCTCTGTGGTTTAGACCACAGCACGACCTGCGTCCCTTAGTCAAATCCTCTCTATTTCACTCAGACACACACACACACACACACACACACACAGAGAGAGAGAGAGAGAGAGAGAGAGAGAGAGAGAGACTCAAACATATACACAGATACACACACAGATTTCTCCTTGCCCAATCTCGAGGTAGAGACCAGCATCTACCAGCAGCCTTATGACGCAACTCTCATGTTTTTGAGCCTTCTGTGGCTGCGGTGAACTCTCGACAACCTCTGACTTCAGGTGCCTTTTCCTTTTTTCTAAAGGCGACTCACAGGTGTGCTGTTTTCCTTTCCTTTGTTTTCCCCTTGCGTCTGATGTCATGTCCAGGTCATGAAGGATGCCGCCCCAGAGCTGAACATGAGCAGCTCTGAGGCAGAGGAGGAGCGAGAGGAGGCCCGCCTGGAAGGGGAGCAGGATCCAGATTTTAACCAGGTATGTCCTTGGTCACCATTTTTTTGGTTTTAAGATCATTTGTTTCTCCTCCTCCTCCTGGGCCTCTGTGGATTGTGAACTCGCTCCTCATCTCTGCACCCTGGAACCGCTGAAAGCAAGTGGCCGAAGCACACGATTTGAGGCCAGACTTAAAAGCATGTGCTTAAACTGCGGAACTCTCTCCCCCAGGAGGCAGGGATGACCACCAACTTCGGTGGCTTTAAAAGAGGGTTGGCTCTGCCCAGCCTCCACAGTCAGAAGCAGCTTCTGAAGACCAGATGCTGGAAACCTGGGGAAGGGAGAGGGCTCTTGTGCGTGGGTCCTGCTTCCCGGCTTCCCATAATGGGCACCTGGTTGGCCACACAGAGAACAGGAGGCTGGACTAGCTGGGTCCGCTTTGGCCGGATCCAGCCACAGGGCTCTTCAGTTCTTAAAAATGTGTGGCCAATTCCAGCTGGCTGAAGGTTCATGGGACTTGGAAGTCGGACAGAATCTCAAGGGCTACATGCAGTTTCCCCAGGTCTGGTATTGCAGTTCATTAGAGCCTCTTAGATAAGAACATGGGGGGTGGGAGTAGGGATTTTGTTTGCTAAGTCAAGAAACAAACCTGCCACTCTGGCAGTCGAGTCCAATGAGCTGCCTTCCTGCTTCCAGGCCAACAGCAATACGAAACGGCAGAAAATGTCGCACGCAAACTACATAGTTTACCAAAAGCAGGGGATCCGCCGGAGCACGCGGCACAGGAAGGTGCGCGGGGAGAAAGCCCTCCTGGTGTCGGCGAACCAGACGTTGAAAGACCTGAAAATTCAGGTGAGGCGGACTTTGCCCTGAGCCCTGGAGGTGGCTTGCCTGAGTCCTAGCGGTCGGCGTGGGCAGGCCTCCTTCCTCCCCCAAAGCTATACTTGGGAATCCGTAGAATCATAGAATTGTAGAGTTGGACGTGCTCTCCAAGGGATTGCAGCTAAAGCATCCCTGACAGATGGCCGTCCAGTGGGAAAAAGAGAAAGAGGGATGCTCACCTTGATGGCTCTGATCACTCTTTTAAGACCTGTGATCTTATTTTAAGATATTGTATCCTTCTCTCCCCCCCCCAACCACCTAAAGTGATAGTGGGGGGAGCAGAGGAGTGCCCCTTTGGTTGTGGGTTGGGGCTGAAAGGGACAAAGCGGAGGTGACAGATCGGGGCAAGAGAGGGAGAGAAACGGGGGAAGCAACATGCCTCAGGTTTTTGCCGTGGGGAGAAGCACTTGGGTGTTGTATTTCTTAAAAGCCATCTGTGTTTGTTTTGCTGCCTGCAACGGTTGCGCCTCCTGCCCCTCATTTTGGCACACAGATCATGCACGCCTTCTCCGTTGCTCCTTTCGACCAGAACCTGTCGATCGATGGGGCGATACTCAGCGACGACTCGGCGACGCTTGGCAGCCTCGGAGTCACTCCGGAGTCCGTTGTTTTATTAAAGGTAAGCCGGGAGAGTTCCTTGCTGGTAGGTGTGGCTCTCCTTCCACCAAGATATTTGGAGCAAGGTCAGTGGTTGTGTGCTGCAATGCAATCTGGCTCTTTCTGTGCCAAAAACTTCCAGCCTACCTACTTTTCACTAGGAAGTTCAGGGGCAGGGGCCATATCAATGGCTACTATCCACAATAGCAATGCTCTTTCTCAACTGCTGGAGGCAACAGTGCATCGGAATATTAGTTATTGGGAATCACAGGAGGAGAGCATTTCTGTTGCACTTGGGTTCTGCTTGTATGTTTCCCATTGGGGCATCTGGTCGGCCATTGTGAGAACAGGAGACTGGGCAAAATGGGCTATTGGCTTGATCCAGCAGGGCTGTTTGTATGCTTTCATATTGGCTGAGCAGGGGCTGATGGGATTTGTAGACCAACAACACTTTGGGGGTCACCAGTTACCCCTCCCTGCATTCATCCATCCATCCATCCCTGACTGGTCATAGTGCCCACCTGAGGCCTTATTTTGGCCTGGGTTCAGATCCCCCCTTCCCCTGCAAAAAGGAAGCCAAGAACACACTACCTTAACTTGTCATCCCCTCTGCCCTGCCAAATGTAACTCATTTGGATCTTTGGGCTGCCTTGATCTCCTTTAACTTCAAGGCAAAAAACAATGGTTGAAGAAGAGCTGCTGGAAGTAAGTGCTGGTTTTGACTTCTGGGAGGAAAAGGTGGCTGGCTAGTGGTCCACTGCTGCAATTCCTGTTGACAGAGATAATTAAGTGGACCATCCCCTTTCCTGGCTGAAGCTTTTGCAGACACCTTTATTAAAAGTCAGTAGGGATAAGCCACCTAAAGCCCTCGTTGCCACAGCTGTGAACAGTTCAGGCCAGGTTCCCAAAAGGGGACGAACCGCCTTGTTTCTTTGTTTTTATTCTGGATCTGGAGTGTTTGGCCTGGAAATGTCGTCTGGTGACATGGAGCAGGAGGCCTTGTCTCTCTTTTGAAAGCACATCAGCCAAATTGGCTTAACAGGGCTCCTCTTCTCATGTCTCCTTTTTCCCCTTCTTCCGACAGGCAGATGAACCAATTGTGGACTATGCAGCAATAGATGATGTAATGCAAGGTAAGGAGAAGTTTGCACACACACGCTCCTCTGGAATAATCCCTGCTGCTTCCCGTCCAGTCATTTTTACCTATCGGAGTGGGGAGGCAGGAGGTGGTGACTGGAGCAAAGGGTCCAGTCTGAGACTGACTCACCCAGTTGTCAAGGGGTGGGAACGAGACCTTGGTCGTCGTTTCCCCCCCCTCCCCAAGTGCCAGGGAAAGCTGCCAAGAAGGCGTTATTGAAACTTGTGGGGAGCTGTAGCTCGGTAGAGCATCTGCTTGGCATGTCGAAGTACCCAGCATTCAGTCAGCTTCTCCAGTTGGGACTGGGAGAGTCTCCCTGCCTGAAAACCTGGAGAGCCACTGTACGCAATATTGAACTAGAAGGGCCAGGGGTCTAACTCTGTACAAGGCAGCTTCCTCTGACCCTAACCTCCACACCTCAGAATGTGCCTTGACCTGTTTGCTTTCCTTTGCAGTCTGCATGCCCGAAGAGGGATTTAAAGGTAGGCTTTGTTTTCTCTTCCCTCCAGCCTTATTTATACCTGCCACCGTGTTTTGCTCTCTTCTAAGCTTTCTCCCCTCGCCTTTCCAAATTCCCCCTTTCCATTTACTCTCCAGGTACCGGTCTCCTTGGACACTAATGTTTTTCGACAACCGCGCCAGCAGCAGAAGTAACTGGGGTGTAGGGAGATGAGTTTGGGCTCTGGCTGGGCATTCCAAGAAAGGTGGACTTCAAAAAGACCAGCCAGCCGCCCAGCCCCCTTCCTGGAGGTGGGACTCCATTCTGAAGGGCCTTGGGCCCCCTCACACACTTGCGCTGCAGGAGAGAGAGAGAGAGCTGTTCTTCGGAGGAGAGTTTCTGGCCTACTACAACCGAGGTGGAGCGTTGAGCGGTTTCAAGGCTGCACCTCTCCGTTTCCCCCCTGCAGAGGAAGAAGGGTCGGCTTGCTGCAGCATCAGATCTCCCCCACCTCCCCTCCTGCGACCTTCATTTCTGGATCTGCTCTTTCAGCGAGGCAGGTGTTCGGCTCCCTGGCAGAGGTCTTTTGAGAACTTGCAAGCTTTTCTGTTTCCAGTAGCCCTTGGCTTCCTCTGGCACTTCGTAGATATGCCCCCCAGGATTGAACAGCCTACAAAATCCCTTTCTAAAAGCCTGAGGTTTGGGGTGGGTATGGGGGGAGAGGCACTTATTCAGCCTGTTATCAAAAAACAATGCCCTCCTGTTTTGTTTTGTTTTGTTTTGCTTTTGTTTAAGCCTTCACTTCCAACATATTAAGATGGGCCCCTGATAATTAATCATAGTGAATTATTCTCGGGAATAACTTGATTTATTTTGGACCACTTTCTCTGGTGGAGGGAAGCCCCAGTTTTCAGCCCTGCCAGATTGACCCAGGAGCCCAAGTGAGACTTTGGTGCAGGTGGAGTCAGAGTCTCCCACACACACTTGCCTCCCTTTTTCTTTGGGGTGGAGAGCAATGCACAAACGCTTCCTTAGACCTCCTGACACATATCCAAAAGAGCTTTGAAAAATGATGATGGTCCTGCACAACCGTCGGGGGGAGCTTTAGCATTTCAAAAGGGTGTGACAAGTTCATTTCCCCTTTTGTAACAGAGGGCTGTAAATTTGGTGGTCCTACTATACTATCTCAATTTGCTGTTCCGGGGAAGGCAGGAGAGGGAGCCTGCGAAATTGGCGAGGTTTTCCAGCTGGGGCTATGGGAGTGGGGGGGCGTTGAGGTTCGTTCTGGGTCTACCTTCGTGCTGGCCTTGGATCCAGTGAACAGCCCTGGGTCTTTCTTTTTAAAGAGGCGAAACGTGGCACTGAACCATCTTATTCTTTCCCAAGGTAAAGAGTTAACAGTAATAATTCAGTCTGCCGTTGTGAGTGCTTTATAGAGCAGCCTTCCTTTCTCTCCATCTCCATCTCCTCCTCCTTCCTCTCAGGAGCCAGGCCCAGAAGTGGTCTTAATTGTTCTAGATGGAAAGCAGTGATGCATGGACATCTAGCCCCTGGGAGTTCTGATATTTTTATTTTCCATTTACTTCCCCCACCACCTACCCACCCACCCCCCTTTCCGGGTTTCGTAATATTTCCTTGATGGGGGGGCGGGGCAGAGTGTGTCTTAATTCACAAGGAAGACCGATCGACCATGCTGTGCTTGTATATATGTGTGCATACTGAGTGTGTGTGTGTGTGTGTGTGTGTGTGAGAGAGAGAGAGAGAGAGAGAGAGAGAGAGAGAGAGAAAGATGGAGACTGACACACGAGTGATGCCTAAATTGTACCAAACCACCATTTCTGCCGGTCGCAGCTCAGCAGGGGAAATGGGCTCAAGCCTCACTCCTCGTACTTGGGACCCTCTTCTTCGTCCACACTTGCAAAATGTTTTTGGACTAGTTTTCAGAGCCTTATTAAAAGTGTGTCCACATGGTCAGTCTTACCTTATTTGTACTGTATTGCATATAAAGCGTGTGTGTTTTTTTCACTTGCCTGCTCAGGTATTTTCTTTCCCCCTGCACTTTTATAGATTCCTTATCAACCAGTCATGACAACTTCTTTCTGTTTTTCTTTTAAAATTGAGGTTTAAGAGCTACACACACACACACACACACACACACACAGTTGATTGTCATCAACCCTTATGCTGGCTTGACTCGTATCTCACGTGAAGACACACCGGCGAAGCTTAAGGCATTGAAGCTACAACTTCCCTGCTTGTTTTCTCCCCATTGTCATGAAATGCATTTATTCCCCCTCTCTCACACACACACACACGAATTTATGAGGTAGCCTCAGGCATTGCTCGCTGACAGAATTTAGCACACTGAAGTTTTGGTTTTGTTAACATTGGAATAAAAATCACAAAGCCTAGTAGTGAGTTAAGTGTGAGCTGCCTTCTCCAAGAAACTGCAGGCTAGCTTTTTGAAATAGTATATTGTTCAGAAAAGCGCACCCCAAATGGTCAAGGGAAGGGAGCGACACCCCCGTGAGGAAAGGTTGCAACATTTTGGACCTTTTAGTTTAGAGAAGAGACGAGTAAGGGGCAACATGATAGAAGTTTATAAAATTATGCACAGCCGAGAGAGAGAGAGAGAGAGAGAGTAGATAGAGAAAATATCTATCTAGAATTCATGGACATCCAGCAGAGCTGAATATTGAAGGATTCAGGACAGATAAAAGAAAGTAACTGTTCACGCAGTGTAAACTATGGAACTCCCTGCCACAGGAAGCAGTGATGGCCACCAACCTAGATGACTTTAATGGCTATGCTCTGCCTCTCTGGTGATACTTCTGAATACCGCTTGCTGGACACCACAGAAGCGGAGCAGGCTCTTGTGCTCAGGTCCTGCGTACAGGGTTTTGCCCATTGGGGTATCTGGTCAGCCGCTGTGAGAAGGTGATGCTGGACTAGATGGGCCACTTGCCTGATCCAGCTGCCTCTTATATGTCCCTGTATATCTGTGATGCAACCAAGACTGCATTGCAAAGATGTCTGCAAATGTGACAATGAAGTCTTGACAACATTAACTCTCCTGTACGAGAATCTCTGCAGTGCCTGGAGACAGGCAGTCAGGTTGTGTATCCACAACTGAGTAGAGGAAGAATGACTCCTAGGAGGGGCGTAGAGAGAAGAAATGCCATGGTGTACCTGTAGCAGCAAAATTCTCCCCACCTGCAATAAAACGGGCCTCTCCTGCATCGGTTTCTACAGCCACAGCAGCCGCTGTAAGTCTCCCAATGGTTTGACTTCACCCCCAAAGGACCACTCTATTGTCTCTTGAGATAGATGGAGGCCAACAATGTCTGGGCCTGGTGGGAGTTGTACTCAAACATTGAGGGAAAGGCTGATTTCGTTTCTGCTTGTTGGTTGTAGGTGACAAGGAGACTTGCCTCCAAACAAGTCTCTTAATCACTCCATCCTAGTAGTGGATTGCATGCATGAAGAGTGGCTCATGTGCTGCAGAGATGCTCGAGCAAAAATCAGAATGACACGACTTATTCTGATGGCGGTTTTGTGATGCTGCTGGGAGTGCAAGTTTGGCTTCTGCCAGGATCTGTTGTACCTTGCCGATTGGAGTTACCGTAACTGGTTTGTGTTTCGTGCACTTTCCTGGAAAACGTTTTGGGTGTTGGAAGCAACATACATATACATACCCAAGGCAAAGATCACGCCTGAAAGGGGGAAGGGAGCAGCTTCTCTCATCCCTGTCGTCCTGCCTCAATGGTTTGTCAGCCTGAGTTACAAACTGCCATGTGTGGATGAAGCAAAAAAGCTGCCTCTTATACTATGAAGGCCTTTCCAAGCATGAAGGTCACTTGCCCCCCCCTCTCGGTTACCCACGGTAGCCACAAGTCAACAGCAAAGCTGGGGTGTCGTGTGGCCAGGATTTGGCACGGATTGGTAGGAGTAAATGCAAAAAAATGCTGTCCCTTTTTAATAAACGGAATTACCTCCATCACCATTTTGCTGTCTGTGATGCTGAAAGATTCCAGCCTCTGGCGCCATTATTTCCTCCTGACATTTGCCCTTTCTAGATGGTACCTTCTCAGAGCCTGCTCTCTTCGTTTTCCTCTCTCCTTTCCTGCAGTAAAATTCCACTGCGATAGGTCTTCCACAGATGACCTGCATGATGTCTTTTTTTGTTATTGTTGCAGGGGCTGGTTTTTATTTTGGAGATTAAAAGGGGGATATTTGAATCATTGTCTGTGTTTTCCTGTACAAAAGTCCCCAGCACCAAGCTGAAAAAATGACAGTACTATTGACTGGCAGCAAGTGGTTCTCCGGGGTTTCAGATGGAAGGGGATCTTCCAGGGACATTCTAGATGCAAAGCAGGTGTTCTGAGCTGCAGCCCACCCTTTTAAGACAGGAAATTCCCTTATACTGAACCAAGCCCACTGTACTGCCTACACTGGCTGGCAGCAGCTCCCCTGGGTTTCTGGCAAGGGCCATTTCCAGCCCTCCCTGGTGATCTCAATAGGCCAGAAGTCTCTGCTTTTGCTGAAACGGTGCAGTGCTTAGCATGTTAGACTAGGCCCTGGGGAACAGGGTTCAAATTCCCACGCAGTCATGAAGCTCGCTGGGTGACCCTGGACCAGTTGCTGCCTTCTCTCAGCCTCGCCTACCTTGCAGGGTGGTTGTGGGGAGAGAGGAGGGGGCGAGCCACGTACACCACCTTGGAGGAAATGTTAAGATCAAAATGCAGTGGAATAAATAATTTGCATGCAGAAGGTCCCAGGTGAAATCCCCATGAGCACATCCAGGCAGAGCTGAGAATGCCCCTTGCAAGAAACCCTGGTGCACAGTTGCTGCCAGCCAGCGAGGACAGCACTGGTCTAGATGGGCCACAGGTTTGCCTTAGTTATAAGCAGCTTCCTGGGTTCATTCCCAAGTTGGCCGGCAGATGGTTCAGACGGGGAGCAGCTGGCTGTGCGCCGCAGGGGCGACATGTTCACCCATCGAGGGAGATGAAATGGGAACAGGTCCTTCATCCTGTTGATTTGGCCCTGTAGCTTTTTCTGCTTGTGAGTGCCACAGCTCCCTTGCTTCGAGTGGGGCTTGCCACCCCTTCGATGCAGCATATTGAGATCAGATGCTTTGGAGTGAAGCAGGAACGCCGCACAGCTGCCTTGGGAACAGTTGAAAGCGATCTGCCTGTGATTTGCATCTCATGAATAAACCAGCGCTCGTTTGCATGTCCCCTCTCCCACCTGACTGTCTCCCTTCCCTTCAAAAGCGCCTCGCATTCCCATCCTGAAAAGCTTTGAAGCTGTTTTTTCTTCTTCTTAAGCCTGCCAAGTGCTCTCCGTGTGGTTTTGATGGCCCATCCAGGCATCTTTCAGAAGACTGCCAGCGAGCTTAGGAGAGGCAGGAGGATATATTTGGCCCCAGCGAGGCTTTGGTACAGGCTGGAGAGAGGAGGAGATGAATTGACCATTTGCTCAAAGAGGAGCCCTTTGATCCGAGGCTGCAGTCGCTGTGGATCGTTGCAAAGTGAGCACCTGCTTCTCCTGAGAGCATCAGGAGTGCTTGGCTGCAACTGGGTCACGTCAAATTGGGGACCACTTAGCCCAACCCCCTGTTCTCACAGTGGCCAGCCAGATTCCCCAATTGGAAACCCTCAAGCATGACCTGGGCACAACAGCAGCAACTCCCCATCTAGACCAAATGGCTGGGAGGCTGCCTGCTCTTGATAGGGTTATACTCCCTCTCAAGGAGCAAGTACACAGCTTAGGGGTCCTGGTTCCTTGGTGGTCGCTTGAGGTCCTGAAAGACCTACATTGGCTCCCAGTACGTTTCCGAGCACAATTCAAAGTGTTGGTGCTGACCTTTAAAGCCCTAAACGGCCTCGGTCCTGTATACCTGAAGGAGCATCTCCACCTCCATCGTTCTAGCCCAGACACTGAGGTCCAGCACCAAGGGCCTTCTGGCAGTTCCCTCACTGCGAGAGGCCAAGTTACAGGGAACCAGGCAGAGGGCCTTCTCGGTAGTGGCACACGCCCTGTGGAACGCCCTCCCATCAGATGTCAAGGAAATAAACAACTACAGTGGTACCTCGGGTTACATACACTTCAGGTTACATACGCTTCAGGTTATAGACTCTGCTAACCCAGAAATATTCCCTCGGGTTAAGAACTTTGCTTCAGGATGAGAACAGAAATCGTGCTCTGGTGGCGCGGTGGCAGCAGGAGGCCCCATTAGCTAAAGTGGTGCTTCAGGTTAAGAACAGTTTCAGGTTAAGAACGGACCTCCGGGAAGGAATTAAGTACTTAACCTGAGATACCACTGTATCTTACTTTTAGAAGACATCTGAAGGCAGCTCTGTTTAGGGAAGTTTTTAATGTTTGATTTTTGATCGTGTTTTTAATATTTTGCTGGGAGCCGCCCAGAGTGGCTAGGGAAACCCAGCCAGATGGGCGGGGTATATATAAATCATCATCATTATTATTATTATTAACCATTGTGTAGTAAGGTTAAAGCTTACTGGGAAATGATATATAATGAAATGAAAAGGATGTTTAAAATAACCTTTGTTTTTTAAAAAAACATACCAGAAGCTTTTCTTTTGGGAATTATAGGGACAGAACTACCCAAACTGTACAGAAACTTATCCATGTATGCTACTACAGCGGCAAGAATGTTACTTGCCTCAAAATGGTAAAGAAGCAGAAGTCCCAGCAAAGGAAGAATGGATACAAAAATTTATGGAGTATGCAGAAATGGCGAAAATTACCTGGAAAAAAATAAGAAATCAAGATAACAACCTTTTTATAAAAGAATGGAAATGGATTATATTATAAACAGATAAGAATATTGGCAGGATTATTGTCTTAACCTGCCATTTCATAAGAGTATATATTTAAAGAAGATGAGTAACTGAGCAAATTAAGTTAATTTGGATATGCAGAAGATATTAAAAATAAGGTTAAGGAATCGCAGAAGGGAGGGGGAAGGAAGTCAAGTTTTGAGATGTTAAAATACGGTA